TAAAGTCAGAATGGGTCCTCTGTACAACTTAGCCATTAAATAGTCAAATTTGTCTCTGTACTGTTATTCTGCAGAGGACTATATAATTGTAGAGCCTTTGGTATGTCTCTCAGAGAAGTAGAATGCTCCCTTCTTCCTCCATGGGCAGCAATGATGTGTCTCTTGAAACCAAAGGGGGGAAAGAGTGTCCTATGTCTAGCGATGATAACGTTTTCTTACCAAGATTTCCTAATATTTTGAGAGAATCAGTGTTTTTAAAGAAGGCTTAAGGGCTGCCTAGGCTACATACACTTAAGTAAATGAATACTCCCAAGTATACTTGCATGTGCACACCCATGTTTACAGTTCCCTTCAGAGTAGAAACCTAAATAAGTTCATTACAAAACAATTACTTAAAAACACATATTTATACATACTTTTCTACCACAGAAAGAAAATATTTTATACTGAATTAATTACATGTCAATCAGTGTCTCTCGCTCTCTCACACACACAATTAAAGCATTTCCTATTTTTTGTCCACTATCTTGATCATTTCTGCTTCCAATTCTCTACATCCTGCTTTGTCTTCTCAGAAATTTCTTTTCAATCTGTTATGTGCATTTCCTGAATCAAGATCTCTTTTACCATGGAAGACTTTTCTTCTTTAACTTCCTCTTCTTTCTTGGCTTGGAAGAATATAGCCTAGAAACACTTTGCTTGAAGGCAGAAACAGGCCATGTCCTTGTCCTTTTGATTTGACTGCACTCACGGACGTTTTCTGTTCTAAGGACAAAAGTACTGATCTCCTGCCCATACCACAGCCCAGCCAGGAATCCAGCAAACTTTTTTCAGTTACCCACCTTCATCATTTGTTCTAAAACGAAGCCCCATCTTCAAAAATGGTGCATAACATTTTAAACGTATTCTTCAGGCTGTCAGTCAAGATGATTCAGTAAGTTTCCCTTCGCTTCCTCTGCACTTACTGGAATAATCCAAGTTCTTTAATATTCCTTTATGGATTTATGGATTGTTAATTATAGGCTGCATTTGCTTAAAACCAACGATTGGGATCACTGTAATTTTGTCACCTGACATACATAAGAATTGTAGTTTGAGCTGAAGATAAAAAATCAGTAGACTCCATTATTTTATTGATTGACCATCAGCTCACTTGATTTCTAAAAGCATGAATTTCTTCATCTGTACTATAGGCGGATGGGAAATATTTCTCCTCCATATCCCAATAGTTGTGTAGCTGATCCAGTCAGATAATGCATGTAAACTACAAGATATGATACTGAAGCTCCTCTGTTAGGTGCTCATTTTCCCTGTTGTTCTTGTTAGGTGCTGAGTCATAGTGACCCCATGTGACAGAGTAGAACTGTCCCATATTATTTTCCTGGAGCCACTGGAGTGGGTTTGAACCTCCAACCTTTAAGTTAGCAGTCAAATGCTTAACCATTGCACTACCATGGATCCTCATTTTTCTTAAGGAGGTATATATCAACACGCCTTTAGGGAAAGCATCTCCTTCCTGGGCTTTCAAACTATACTGCATGATGAAAATTACTTTAAACACTGTAACCCAGTGTATAAACTAGACATTAACTGAGCCAATAAATTAAAATCAAGTAGCAGTACTAAGGAATGCATCTAAATTCCCTCTTCTTTGATGCTTCCTGGGGAAGGATCACCACACAAGAGGGAAGGATCATATGTGTTCTAATAAGTCAGTAAATAGCTATGATCCACCCAAGATACCTTAACAAGAAATAAGACTGGAATTTCAATCCTTCATAGAGTCACTTCCTACCAGTGTAGAATCCAAAAGGCTTAGGTTATTAAACAGCCTTTAAGGTTCTGTTTTCTGGGTAACAAAATCAAGGTATGACATACTAGATTTAATTTTCTCTAGGAACCAACTCATACATTAATTTTTTTTAAATAGAAGAAAATATTGAAGCTGAGAATCTCAGAAATTCACAGGTGTGGTTTTTCCTATCCTATAGGTTTGCTATGAGTAAGAATTGATTCATTATAGTTAGTCATCTAAAGTTTAACTAGCATAAAACCCTAAGTTCTATCATCCTTTGATCCATTCTTAATTTGTTCTAGTTTTTTATTATTTTCTTCTTTCTTTTGGATTGACATTTTTCAGTGATTTTTTTTGTTTTGTTTTTGTTCGTGGGGATTTTTTTATTTTCTTTTATAAAATCCAGGATATAGATACAGTAAACCTATGGAGACATATAGTTTCTTAGGATTATGATAGGGGAAGTTGTGGAGGAGAGGAGAATTAATAACAAGGAGTACAAAAAATGAAGAAAATGTTCTACAATTGATTGTTGTGGTGATTATAAGATATTCAAACCACTGAATTATATGGCACATGAATAATATGCCCATAAAGTTGTTTTTTTTAATCTTCAGTTCTAGATGATAGTACTTAACTAGTTTTCTCAATAAGTAATTGGCATTCTACTATTTTTCATAACAAAAATTAATAAGATATTATTGGTGAAAATATGTGTTTGTTGTTTTGCTTATTGAGTTCTAGAAAATGGATTCTTCAAAGTGAAATTAAATGCATCTGTAATATGAGTTAGCTAAAATAGTATTTTAGACATAGCTTCCACCTACGGATAAGACATAGGCACTTGTCTCTTTGGCTTTTTGGTAAAGGGATCTAGGTGCAACACCCACTAAGGCCACTTCCAGCCTTACACTTTGAATTCTGTTTGCCCGATGCTGCCTTTCTAGGTGGTGAAAACCTACCTCTCACATCGGGATGAATGAATCTTTTGTGCAGGAGGTGATCAGAGCATTAGTAAGGACAGAAAGTTAAGACCTTCTTGAGCTGACAGATCAGATTTCTTGAACTATTTTATGTGCACTTGCTTCTTCATATATGCTTAGTTACTAAATATCTGTGTATTCGGTAGACTTGTCCTGGGACTAGCTTATTTTCAAAACAAGGTAGTAAGATTATGGGGGAAAGAGATGACAGTTCTCACCTCAAAATATCTTTGGTTACTTCTACAAGTTTTAAACACACATACATGCACATGGTAGTTGGCTTAGGGGTGGTTCTTAACAAGAGGTAAAAACAATTAATACCATGAACCAATGAAAGTACTGATGGGAAATTTGAGGACTGTAGGACTACTCTCAATTTCAAGTTACCAGTTTGATTACACACCCCATCATTTCAGCACTCACTGAAAGAATACATTATTTTGGCACTGATAGTTTGTTGTCATGCAAGGAAATTGAAATGTTTTCAGTTCATTAAATGGCTATATTTATTCAACTTTGATGAGAAATCTTTGTCAGGAGTGAAATATTCTTAATTTGAAGTAGAACATATTATCATGTGAGTATCCATAGAATGTATGTATCAGTATGAGTGTTATAATTCTAACATGGATAACTTCAAGATAATAAATTTAAACAACAGTCACAACAAGAACAATAATAATTATTCTACTTCTGACTGTGCTCACAGGCTCAAAATTCTATAGTTTTCAAATGATGCCAGTCAGATCAGTTCATTATTTATGTAGGAGAAAGTATAGAAGATGATTATTAATATATTTAGCTAAGACCCCTTAGACCACTAATTAACTAGAGGATCTTAAGTTTTGCACTAATGTCAGCTTTCCCATGTCACCAGCTTATAAATCACTTGGGCACATTTTAAAAAGACAGCTAAGTATTCAAACCTCCAGAAGTTAGGCTTGAAATTTGCCCTTTAAGAATAATTCCATGTGATTTTGGTGCACTGTCAAGTTTGAAGACCAAAGTAAAGCCAGAGGTCTAAGGGGTTTAAAAAATCAACCAGCAGATCAGAGCAGCATGCAAGACTGAATTACTGCAGCTTCAGAGCAGATGTTATTAGTGTTTATGACACTCTTGTTTATGACACATTTGTTTTGCATGAAACACTCTTGAAGGTGATAGAAAGTTCTTTCTTTAACTGTCTGATGATTCCTTTCTCTGGTGATTTGGCTGGCAGAGTAGAAATACAAAGGGCAACAAGGAGGACGTCGAGTAAGTATTTAAACACACACACACACTTGAAGAAAGTGCCTTGTTTCATCATAAATGAAATAAAATTCCATCATAGTAAAATCTAAATGAGGTTACATATCAACTTATTTATATATGTATTTTTAACTTTTTTTGTGAAGTTGGTAAAGATTTGCAGAGCAGTCAATTTTCCTTCAGATATGTCCAATATCTCCCTTTTTCCTAGATACAATGAATTTAGACTTTCCTTCTTGTTGAACTTCTGAGCAGTTAATGCTAGCGAGATTAACAGACCTCATTTCTTTGCACTTCTGTGAATGCAATCACCAATATAAAGAAATCTATATGGATTGAGAATTCTCAGGATTTTCAAGTGGATAGTGTTATATGAGGACTAGAGAAGATTAACAAAAATGGTTAGAATTTGATGCCAGAAAACATAACATGTCATACCCCATGATGTTGTTAGATGTCGTCAAGTTGGCCCCAATGTGACCTAATATGCAAACATAACAGTCATCTTCATGAAAGTCAATATGTGTAGACTAATTTTCCAGCACTATATCACAAAGTATTCTGCTGTAATATTGAAGGTTTTTTATTGGCTAAGTCTAGGAAGTAAATTAATTGCAGGCCTTTCTTCCTAGTCTGTGTTAATCTGGAAGTTCTGCATCCATCAAGAGCAACTCTGCTAGATTAGAAATACCAGTCGCTTAACAAGCAGCATCATAACAACACAGAATCTACCACAGAATGACAAGCTGACAGACTGGTGGTGACATTCCTCATGTACTAGTTATTAATTCCGCTCCTGTGATTTCCTTCAACATCTGTACAAAACACAGAAAATTCTTGTTCCCCCCAAAAAGCTTTCATGACCTAGGATCAGTTGCTGTATTTTATTTGCCTGGTTTAATTCCCCTGTCTCCTATACATTTATGATTTGAATGTTTCAAATATCTTTCAGGTGAAGCTGAGAAGAAGAAACTATGGATACAGGAAATGAGACATCAAGCACAGACTTCATTCTCCTGGGCCTTTTCCCAGGGATGAGACATATCGGCATCCTTGTCTCCATAATCCTCCTGATTTACACCATCGCCTTGACAGGAAATGCCACTCTGATCTTTCTCATCTGGGTCGATCCCCACCTCCATACCTCCATGTATTTTCTGCTTAGCCAGCTCTCCCTCATTGACTTAGCTTTCATCTCTAGCACAGTCCCTAAAATGGCAGTCAACTTTTTCTCAGGGAAGAAGAAAATCTCCCTGATTGGCTGTGGGACCCAGATCTTCTTTACCTTGTCTCTGGGGATTGCTGAGTGCATCCTCCTGACCCTCATGGCTTATGATCGATATGTAGCCATCTGTCACCCTCTGAAATACCCAATCATTGTAAGTCCCCGGGTCTCCCAGCAGATGGCCATTGGATCCTGGGTAGCGGGGGCTTTGGCATCCTTGGTTCACACAACCTACTCCATGCACTTTCCTCTTTGTGGCCCACGGGAACTCCATCACTTCTTCTGTGAGGTAAAGGCCATCTTGAAACTGTCTTGTGAGGATATTTCTGCTTATGAGAAAGGGGTGGTGGTGACCAGCATTATTGTGGTTCTTCTCCCTGTAAGCCTAATTTTGACCTCCTACACCCTCATTTTCCTGGCAGTCTTACAAATGAACTCACCAGAAGGGAGGAACAAGGCTCTGGCCACCTGTTCTTCCCATTTGACTGTGGTCACTTTTTACTATGGTCCAGCCATGATGATATACATGAGGCCTGGATCCTCCCACACCCCCATCTTAAACCAGGCTCTCTTCATGTTCGACACCATCCTCACTCCCATGATGAACCCCCTTATCTACAGTCTGAGGAACAGGGAAGTTGTGAGTGCACTGAGAAAAGTATTGAAGAGATGCCTCATCTCAAAGTAGGTTGCTCTGTTTCATGGATTTAACTGAAAGATTTACACTGCGTCACTGAGAGACCATAGGGTTGAGGACATTAATTTAGTGCGTGTATGTTCCTGTTTTCTCCATCTACAAATGTTGGACACCTCGTGTTCATTTCTTCTAACAATGGCAGTTGTTAACTAAATCATTGAACAATTATGAATTTTGGAAGAAAAACAAAGTGCTAATGGTTCAGAGAAATGTCTCTGATGTCTACCATACAGCTGATTTTAGTGAAATAAGTTTTGCCCACTCCTCTAAGAATGCTTTATTTATTGTGCAATGGAGATAATGCAATCGCCTCCTTTCTTTCTTTTAGAAGTAGCAAGAAAGAGGTGAGAAAATGTACTCTACTTTGGAAGACAATAAAGTATTCTACACAAGTACAGAGCATTTACTAGCTTGCTTTTATATAGAACTTCTGAATGAAAGGCCAATTAACTGCAGGTCTTAAATAAGACCAATGTAATAAAGAGAGATCAAGCAACTTTCTTTTTTGACACCTACTGATGCACTGAGTTATGTTCATTAGGCCCTACACATGGAACCTATCTGTACCCTCTTCATATTTTTCCTCCTAATTCCCAATAACAGTCACTTATGGAAGTTCACTGAAGTCTATCCAAATTCCTACAACACTGATTTTCCTGTATGCAGCTCTCCGTTTTCAAGGCCAAAGGACCATCATTCATGTGTGCTTTTCAGGGTCTACAGGGTAAACTATAGACGCCTATTCTCAATAGAAAGGCCTTTCCTGGCATGGTCTAGCCTGCCTGCTACCAAATCTAAATCTACTTGACTCAAACAATGGCCAGAAGCTTATCGTTTCACCTGAGTGCAATTTTCTCACCCAGTCATGCACATTTCCCCATGCTGTTCCCTATATCTGGAAAATGTTTTTTCACTACTCTCCCAAATCCCCTTTCTCTTCATGGCCACCCCTACTCCCTCTTCCACCATTTGTCTGTCATTTTGTCATACCGAGGTGGCTTTTGGGTTGTCATGATGCTAGAAGCTACGTCAGTGATAGTTCACATACCAGCAGGGTCACCCAAGGTGAATATATTTCAGCAGAACTTCCAGACTAAGAGGAATAATAAGCTGACCACTTCTGAGGGGTTAGCTACTGAAAACCTTATGAATATCAACAGAACTGTCAAAACAGCATTGGGCTCAAATATAACAATCATGAGGATGGGGCAGGACTAGGCAGTGCTTCATTCTGTTTTAAATGTGTCAATATGAGTTGAAATAGACTTGATCGCATCTAACAACCACTTCCTCTTCATTCTTCAAGTGTGAGTTCATTAATTCCCACTCTGCAGGCTTTTCTTTATCCAAGACAAATTCATATGATCCTATATCTGTCCCCAAGACTATTGACATCCCTGCCTTTTAAAACTCACACATATGTGCAAATTGGTTAGAGAATTTATTTCCATACATAATTCACAGAGTTTCACATGCTAGGGAATCATCCGAATGCTGAAAATAGACGGAAAGGAGCTATCCTGAGTGTACCCCCTTAGGGTCCCTGGTTTTCATGACCGTTCCAGAAATCATTCATTGTAATTTTGCTGTCTTCACTTCTTTTTGTACAGATGAGAAAATTGAGGCTCAACATGGCTTGGTCAAAGGTACGGGGCTGCTAAATGATAGTAAATAGCACAGAATCAGGTTTTTTGTCTTCTGATGAACTGTTTATACCACTGAAGTAATTGAGTCTAATAGAGAAAGCGGGCATTCATGCTAGAGGATTTACTTCTCACGAGAGTAACCTCGGCAAAGTTACCTGGTGACTATAGGCTCAAATTTCATCATCTGAGAAGCTGGAAGAATTCTTTCCACCTTGTGGTCTGGATCACTAAATTAGAAAATATGAATGTAAAAAGTTGCCAATTGATAAATAGAAAGTATTAAAATATGACCATTTTACCACACCAAAGAAAATATCAAGTTGGTGAGACCACCAATTAAGCCAAATGTAGTCTTTATTTTACTTATTTAGTTTCATTTTTTAATAGCTTGCATATGTGTTTATAGACATGCATTCAATTTTTTGAGTCAGAATAAATCATTGTGTTATATTAACCTTTTAAGAAAGATATAAGGAAATTAATATAGATAAATGTAATTTGTCAATTGATATGTTGTAATAATTAGAATAAAAAAAATTAACAATTAGCCTTAGTACAGAACCCAATTTACACATTAAAAAAAATTTCATTTTAGCCTTCTTGGAGTAAGCTGCCTGTTTCTCACACAGCACAAACTATTTAGCTATGTGCCAATCAAGGCTACCTCACATAACAGAGTATCATTTTATAGTCATAAGCTAAAGCTCGCATTGGACATAAATGGTATGTTATCAGAAATGTATGACTTTATATACCCGCTTCACTGGACTCCCCAGAGACAGACTGAAATTCATGTGATTGCCTACAGTTTAACAGTAATTTTATTACATATAAATATATACAGGATGAATTTTATTATAAACAATGTTAAGGATACTGTACAATGTTTTACATTAAACAGCTGGGTTTGTTTGTTTGTTTGTTTGTTTGTTTGTTTTTTAGTCCTTTTATTGGGGGCTCATACAACTCTTATCACAATCCATCCATACACCCATTGTGTCAAGCACATTTGTACATTTCTTTCCATCATCATTCTCAAAACATTTTCTTTCTACTTGAGCCTTTAGTATCAGCTTTTCATATTTTTCCCTCCCTCTGCCACCCTCCCTCCCTCCCTCACAAACCCTTGATAATTTATAAATTGTTATTATTTTTTCATTTCTTACACTGACATATGTCTGTCTCCCTTCACCCACTATTATGTTGTTCATCACCCAGGGAGGGGGCTATATGTGGATATTGTGATCGGTTCCCCCATTGCTCCCCTACCTTCCCCTTCCCCTCCTGGTATGGCTACTCCTGATATTGGTCCTGAAGGGTTTATCTGTTCTGGATTCCCTGTTTTCCAAGCTCTTACCTGTACCCATGCACATGCTCTGGTCTAGCCAGATATGTAATATAAAATTGGGGTCATGATAGTGGGGGGTGCAAGCATTAAAAAAACTAGAGGAAAGTTGTATGTTTTATCAGTGCTATACAGCACCCTGACTGGCTCATCTCTTCCTTATGACCCTTCTGTAAGGGGATGTCCAATTGTTTACAGATGGGCTTTGGGTTTCCAACACACACACACACACACACACACACACACACACTCACTTTAGTGTGCTTTTGTTCTGGGTCTTAGATGCCTGATACCTGATCCCATCAACATCTCATGATCACACAGACTGGTGTGCTTCTTCCGTGTGGACTTTGCTACTTCTGAGCTAGATGGCTGCTTGTTTATCTTCAAGCCTTTAAGACCCCAGATTCTATATTTTTTGATAGCCAGGCACCATCAGCTTTCTTCGCCACATTTACTTATGAACCCATTTTATCTTCAGCAATCATGTCAGGAAGATGAGCATCACAGAATGCCAGATTTTAGAAGAAAGTGTTCATGTGTTGAGGGAGTACTTGAGTCGAAGCCCAATGTCCATATGCTACCCTAATTCTCTTTTGTTTTAGAAGACTCAACAATGTTTATGTTTTAAATTTCCTTTGGTCCCATCCCACAATGACCCATTCCTTCACATCCTGACCTAGGGATGCAGGGTGGGGTGAGAGATGTGGTCTTGCTTACTCCACTGTAGATAAGTTTTCTTTCTCGGGGTGGCCTTGAATCCCCTCTGGAGCCCCAGTTTGCATTTGGGGCCCTCAGTGAGAGCGGGACTTTCCCAGTGTTCCAGTGAACACAGGCTTCAAGGGGAGCTGTGAGGGGTGGTAGATGGATTTTGGAGAGCAGGAGTGTTACCTGCAGTAGGGTGTGGGGTTTGCAGTTGCTCAGAAGAAGTGCAGTTTGTAGCTGGGGAGTTTGGGATTCTGGTTGTCTTTGGTGCTTGCTGCACAGTCTTTGTCATAGGCATCGTCCCGAGTTTCTTCTGACCGTCTGGATCATGAGGCTTGCCTAAGATTTCAGAACATAGTCCATTAGAGGCATTCAGCAAATCCAGATTTTTCTGTACCCATTTGGCGAGGGAGGCAACACTAGCCATGGTATGGGAGGTCAGAATCACCCAAGCAGGAGGCATCTTCAGAGGCATTTGCCAGGTGCTCATGAAGGAACCCCAAGGACTTACCTTGGAGTGGGTCAACGAAGACACCAGGTGACCTTAATCACTGGCGATACTCTGAGAATAGCCTTCCTGGGAAGGGATGCTCTCTTTTGTTGGCTTGCTGGGGGACCAGTTCTGCAGATACTTGGATGAGAAAGCTTTTTCACACTCTGCTTCTCTTGGTGGTACATGTGGAGGTGGGAGACGAGAGGGAAGGAGAGAGTGCTACCTTAATTCTTAACATATAGATATAAATACATAGATCATTGTACATAAATATATTTACATATATACATGCCTATATTTAGACCTCTATAAATGTACTTTGCCTCCTAGTTCTTTCCTCTATTTCCTTTTACTTTCCTCTTGTCCCACCATCATGAAGGGCCTTCATTTGGGTTTAGTAATTCCTGGCTGTTACATTGCCCTTGATTAAGCCGTACTAGGAATCCTACACCCTTCTCTGTGTTGATTTTATTTCACTTGTTGTTCTCTTGTCCCTGGGTTGGTTCCTTTCTCCCACCACCCCTTCTCCCGTGTTCCCCGGGAACCATCGATTTCGTTGTTTTCATCTCCAAATTGTTTATCCTTCCTATCTAGGTAGACATGCAGAGACATTAATATGTGCAAAAAAACAGGCAAAGCTAAACAAACAACAAAGAAGGCAAAACCAACAAAATAAAAGCAAAATAACAACAACAAAAAGTCAATGTCAAAAATGGAAAAGCCTATAAATAGTTCCAGGTCTGTCTTTTGACCTTCAGGAGTATTTTCCAGTGGAGAATGATGGGGTACCACACTCTGTCCC